TGAAATATCTAAACGAGAGATCAAAATATAAATGACTAAGATTGATAGCGACGGAAATTACTAAAGTGTCCAACGAGTAACAGTAAAAATGTCAACAGTGGAAAATGGAAAAAATTTTACTTGATGGTCAAGTTTTACTGTAAAATAAAAAAAATATGTATGCTTGTAATAAATAATAATACCATACTAGCAACATAAAATAATTACACGTGCAATGTTGTCATATTAATATTATTAAAACTGTTATTTTAAGTTCAATCTTGTTTATTTTATTAACATTATTTACTATAATTTTGTTTTTAAATTTTGTTCATCAACGATAATTGGTTAAAATAAGATTTTTATTTTTTACCTTACAATGTACAATTTCTAATGTTTGATTTCATATTTTTAAACATTTAATTCGATTATTTAGCAATAAACACATTTAGTTGCTAATTTCACAAACATTATTTAATTCAGTTATATATATTTTCATCACTGAAGAGCTTAGTAATTGGAGTTTGCTACTTTGGTTTTGGATTAAATAGAATTTCTTGTTGGCTCTGCATGCAATAAAAAGCTGCAAAATGTGTGTTTTTTTTATACCTTATATTATTACAGTACTAACTCGGAAAACACACATTCTGTGTACCTACTTAAACGGTCCTTGGGGAGATGAAGGGATACATATTATACCTAATGAGGAGTATATACATGTACACATTGTACGTGTAAAGTCATAGTTCATTAGACAGAGCACACACAATGCATAATAATATTATATATAATATGCCTTGCACAAAACTTATCTAAAGCATTCGCCCTAACAGAGTAGGTACTATTATTATGTAGTGATGCCAAAAGTGTCGCAGCCTCAATATCTTTGTGCTTTTAATAGGCTAACTAAAAAATGTGTGTTGCTTTTTACTAAATACTAAAAGTCTAATCATTTGTATCATTAAAATACACTATAATATGAATTTTTATACAACCCACATGGTATTATTATTATGTGTAGTTGCGTTATTGCCGTCCGGAGAGTGCTTCTGTAAAGCCCTCTTAGCCTATTCACTATATATATATATACATATATATATATATATCAATTTAGCTCCTTCGGGACCGGTGGGATAACGCCAGCTGTGACAACACATACACAATGCAGGCCTAACTCTAAAACCGTTTACTCGACACTAAAACCGACTAAGAATACAGTTTGCTGTTTTTTATTTGTCTTTTATTATTCGCCCATAACGAGAAAATAAATAAATAAATTAAGTATAGGTACATCGAAAGCGGTCGCTCACGTGAGTACAGACACGTGGGCTCCTTCTCACCCCCCCCCCCCCAAAACACATAACTTAAAAAGCAGCACGTTTTTATTTTTTTCAGTCGAGGATAAATGTTGACATCTCATCAACCTGCTTACAACAAATTTTAGTAGACAACAATAGCGATAAAGTTTAAGAATAACACAGAGACAGCGATCGATGAACCGAAAACTTTTCAATGTAAACAGCCCTTTCGAAGCACATTGTTTATATATATACACCGGACCCGGTCTGGACGTAGCAACTTATATGTACAATAATGATTTATTACAGGATTATTGTATTGCTTACTGCCTACCTTATCTTCGATGTTGCGGATAACGGGACCGACTCCCCTTTACTTAGTTGCCACTGGCGTCGTCATGACTTCTGGAAAAAGCCGGGGAAAAAATACCAGCTTTATACCAGCCGACCGACTGGTGCCGTGCCTATCCATTAAAGACACTGTAAACTTAATTTGTGATCTTCCTGAGAAGCAAAATAGATATTCTAACCGCACGGATTAACCAACTCGGTAACCGCACGTCACTGCGCGATGGACGTGGAAGTCAGCCTCGACGCCTTATTTAATTAAAAACCGTTTCAGAAACTGAACAATTCTGTCTGTAAAAGACAATTTTTAAAAAGTTTTTCAGCCGAGTCTGCAACCACTAAAGAGCATTTTCATGTCTCGTTGAAGTACCGAATAAATTTAGAGTAGTGGTGGAATTATAGATAATGATACAGTATATTGAGAAGCAGTAACAAGCTAGTATATTTAATCATCAAGTCTGACTGGTAAATATGATAGGCTATTGGACAGTGTTTTATTTGTAACTGGACGTGTGTCGGTTACCGAAAACCCGCATCCTTATCCGGAACGGAGTGTCCTATGTCAATATTCTCAATTATTCATAACTTAGTCGTATATTTATTGATATAAGTAGGTTCTGACGTTTGCATATTTTGTTTATCGAAATTACATGCAAAACAAACACAATAAGCGAGGCAAATATAATATATTTCTGAGCAGATCAAACCGACTTCAGGCTACCCTCGCTTGCTTAATCCACGTGCTCCTTAACAGTTGAAGGTACAGAGAATTAAAATCTACTTTCGATTGCGACAATAATGCTCTGTGCTTGGCCGTTTAACTGTACCGTTGGTTTATGTCTTAGGTTTTCATAGATTACACACACACACACACATGTCGCACAGTGGTGAAACTTAGATTTATTGTTTAGACCGACCTGTCAGTATATTGTTCGTTATCGTCAACAATTGATCGTTTGTTTTCTCATTGGCGGCTTTTTTCCCTTACTTAATCAACGGCTTTCGTCGCTCGAATAATTGTGGTTTACGGCTATACCTATCCACTGCGTTGCATAACCCTTGTTTATTTTACATAATACGGATGTGGGCACACACAGTGTTAAAATATTATTATTTATATGATATTATTATTATCATGTCGATTCGAAACCAACAGAGACAATTCAAATTATATGATTAAAAGTGTATTTTGTTTTTTTTAATTTAATTAAAACAAATCTAGTACAATATTATAATATTGTACTAGATTAGATACAGTTCCCTCAGATATACGCATAGTAGATAATATAAACAGTGTTGTCAATTGTCATAGAACAAATAGCTGTAGTATTACTGCTCTCCATTGACTATTTACCTAATTGGGTGGCTCAATAATGGTTTGTTGTTGTTATGAAAATATTATTCTAAAAAAAGTTGAAAGTATAATCTTAATGGCCTATATAAAGCTATAAAATATAATGTATTCTGCCGCTATATAATATAAATAAAATTATCATTGGACTAATGGATAATAATATGATATGATTTCTCTACCTAATCCTGTTTATGGTGTTTTTAATTTTTTTTAGTGTGTATGATAATTTAACACAAATACATATATTATTTATAACTAATACATGCTTATTTTTTTGTTACAGGTAAGAAAATAATATCATCTGGAGTTGACCAACTCGAACGAATCCCTTAAGTAAGCGTGAAATAATAATTATATATCATACATATTTTATGACTATTGAAATAGCTAACTTGTAACCAGTATGAACAAGGCGAATGACATGGAGTGTACAGGTTATGTGAGGCACGCGAATACAATTTAATAAAATAGTTATAATGTATAATTAGTTGCATTAACCGTGAAATCCACTCTACCTATAGATGAGATACAGTTTATAAATGATATTATAATTGTATATTGAATTAGTTCAAAAGATTCTGGTTAAAATATTTAAAAAAAAAAATCTGAAACGAGTCCGTAACGATATTATAATATTGTGTTCTAATCCTGTCAGAGTTTTGCTTATAATGTGAGTTGTACAACGTATCGATCAGTATTTAATTAAAATATTCAAACAAAAAAATTAAAAGCGAAGCGTTTTGCAAAACGGTAAAGGACTCATGCCCTAGGCGGCACTTTCTAAGAAGAGCTTATAACGTTTCAGAAAGCTTTAAAAAAAAAAAAAATGTTCCTAAAAAACCTAATCATATTTTTATGAAGCCTGCTGATGGTAAATTGTTTAACGAGTCGCCTGGAGATTATTTTTAATTCATTATTTTGAGAGAGATGTATAACATCTATCAATAATATTAAAACAAAATAAATTGATACACTGTGACAAAACTGATTTGGAAAAAATTGAAGAAACGAACAATATAAATTGGAAAATCAGAATTGGAAATTATTTCCCTATTAACAAACCCTATTTTATTTATTGTCCGTTTGGATATAGAACTGCATTTTGGGGAGGACTCTAACCTTATTGGTTTACCAAGTATTTTGGGTCTGTAATTCTCCTTTTAGCCGAGTACAGTTAAAGTACATCCTTTTAGTTTCAACGGTGTGTTTATTTAAACGTCCGAGACGGACACGAGCAAGCCGTAATTAACTTGACCGAGTCAAACATTATAGGGATCCGTAAATTATTTGTAATTACTTAAGTTTTACTCGAGAGTTACTTCCTTACTCGTTATTAACTTAGAGCGCAAGGTTTTTTTTTCTTTCTCGAACTTAAGCCTATGATAACGATGAAAAATGTACGACCGTCGGCGTAGAAAACTTTTAACTCTTTTTTTTTTTTTGTACTATATTATATATTTTTAACGAAACGGTCGTAACGATTCTGCATCGATTAGTCATTCGATCAACGTCTTAACAGTATGGTCGTTTTTAATAACAACCCTGTCCAGCGCGCTTTTCAAGAAGGTATCAGGGTTAATATTATATTGTGCCGCTACACGAGGCATGACGGGTAGACACTAACGTTTTACAAGGCTTTTTAAACGTTTAAGAGGATTTAGTCTAACTGCTATTCGACATTGTCGGTGTGCTATATAACCCTTTTGATTGTGCCCGTCTCTTGTCCCTCACGCGGGTCGTCCTTTTTCCCAATATCGTTACCTGAGTCGCGCGTTAGGCGTAAGACCGAAAAAATGTTTTTTTTTTTTAAAAATAAAATACCAAAGTATTTTACCCGCCGGGTTATTTTCCCCTGTGTACAGTCGACCTTCTAATTTCACGTTGTGTATACCGTGTAATATCCACCGAGATGATTGCCGGTGCCACCGCCGCCGGTTTCTCTCCCCACCTCTTGTGTGTGCACGGCAAGACTTGTATGATGACTATAGGAGAGTACACACACACCTGCAGTGTCCGAGACCGACCGGTAGCCGGAGAGCGTTAGTCAGTGTGCCGGATTTGGCGGGTAAGCGAGTGCGCGCTAAAAAAAAAAAAAAACGTCTGCATAAAAAATTAGATAATATCCGCGGTTTTTTTTTAATGTTTTTTAACCGCACGAGCTAGTGTTTTTTTTTTATTCGAATGGGTGTTTCGGTTTATCGCGAAGTGACCATGACCGCCACGACCACCCCGGCTGTGACCGCCGCCAAAACGTCTAACGTGCTCATGTGCCGGCAATGGTGGAAAGTGTGTTGGATGTACGGCGACCAGGAAAAATACTACAGACAGCTGTACGGCGCGGCCAAAAAGTCGTCCTCTCAGCAGGGCAAAGGCGACCATCACCGTACGGGGGCGACGGTCATGGAACTCCAGCAAATGTCCACCGTGTCCTTTGCCGCCGCCGATAGGTCAGTGCAGTTTAACCTTTCCCTCCACCCCTAGGATATCCTGTCGATATAATAGTGAAAGTTATGGTAAACATACGTTCAAACGAGCAGTAAAATTACTTCTGACAGTGAATGCACAAACGGCTTGTTCTTAGATAATTAGTTATACCGTGGCGATGGTCACATGAATTAGTAAACAGAATATTTAAAAACAAAATAAAAATAGGTAGGGTGAAGGAAGGTATTTTCGTGGCATAAGCAATTTCGTGATATAGTTTGTTGATCGTATCGCGTAATTCCCTATTAGAAAATTGTCTTGAAAGTCACACTGATTGTTAAAATAACTGTGTTTTAACAATCAGTGTGATTTTCAAGACAATTTTCTAATAGGGAATTACGCGATACGATCAACAAACTATATCACGAAATTGCTTATGCCACGAAAATACCTTCCTTCACCCTACTTAATTTGATTGGTTCGGCCTAACAAGTCTGTTGAAGATGATTTTAAAGGAAATATACCGGCAGAATTTTTATGGATGAATTTAAAAATGTCCTGCTGCAAACAAACGATAATATTATTCATGTGATATTTCAATCCGCGAAAGCTTCGACACATTCAGATAATATTATTATTAGCCTTTTGCAGCTGAAAGGAAAATAAAACATTTTCTTCTGTTATATAAAGTGTCTTAACAAAACATTTACTTGAACGCACTTGGACTTCTTTAAAGATTCAGTCGTGAATTAGTAACAGTAATTTCATGTATCCTCTTGGCACCGGTGGTTAATTCGATTCAGTTTTTATAATGGCTATTTCACCTTAGTGTGTTTATTTATTCTATTTTTTTTTTTACCAAAGGAAATTATTCAAAACCAAGGCACCCACCATGTATAATGATGATTGTTCGATGCTATCATTTGACGAAATCAAATTACTATTGTTACACTTGTTGCCGACCTACAACCAGAGGTTAGCTGACGAATACAGTTATTTAATTTCGGTTTATCGGTCGACTGCTGTTTTTTTTATCATCTCGGGAATCAATTTTTTTACTGTTCTCGGTTTGGCGCATAATAATAATATGATACATGTTTCTCCGCCGTCTTAAACGAATAATAATTGACAGGAAACCTTAGACCGCGGCTGCACGCATATCCGTAGCGCATCATCCCGGTTCAGAAAATACCTCTATTTTTGTATTTTTTAATCTCGTTTTTCAATCTGACTTTGCACCTGAATGTGGAAATATTTTCGAATACCGGTTGTGTAAAAATAATACCAAAATATACAAACTCTGTTACCGTTTCTCGGGTGGGTACACACGATCTTGATAATTACTACTACTATTGGATCTCGTTTACTTACACTGGGTTGTACTTTTTTTTTCAATTAATTAAATATGCCATTTAAATATAATTTGCGTGTCATTGTCGTTGTAGTTTTAATGGCAAGACGGATTTTTTTGTGTCACGTGTACCATGGCTGCTGTTGTGCCCGCCATTACCATTACAAACACAAAATAATATATTATTACTATTATTGAGATTTAAAATTATTTCACTTGCTGAATTAAAAAAAAAAAAACAGGTCAATGGAGTATACAATAGTTAGAATAAAAACATATTTTAGAGAATTCACAATTTTTGGAGCTTAAAAATTTTGGTTTATTATACATTAGATATATTATGTATAAAAACAAATAAAAATGTGCATATAATATGTATGAAAGTCGCCAATAAACATATTATGCTTGTGGAGGAGACTCATTTTGTTTCCTCAGGAGATTAATCTATTGGTTTGAGCTTTTGTTGCAAAATAAAATGTCTTAACTATGACTGTACTTGTCAATTTAACAATACATTAATTCGGTTTTTCTAGTACACTATTTTGTATATTTCAACTAATAATATGTATATATTAATTATTTATTGGAAAAAAATCCAAAATACACATTTTGTTTTTTTTTTACTTTTTTTTATCTTTAAACTTGATTCCTATATTTTGTTTACTATTTTTGGAAATGATAGTTGCCTAGCTCTCTCTAATGTACATTTTTTATAAAAATATTTCCCTAATAATTCACGTTACAAGAATCTTACAAGCAACCGACGTTTTTTTTTGTTTTTTATATTTATTACTATTGTTTACACATCGGTCGTTTAACATAATATAGAAATTCTCAATATGAACATAATTTTTATACTCCACTGGAATAAGGAGAATCGAGAGCTGTTGTTTTAGTTATTTTTTTTAAATAATATAAAAAATATGCCTCGGTGCTGCCAATGGCGTTTGTGTCGCATACCGACGAGATCTCAAAAATTGTTGTAAACGGCCAAAGCAGCGGCACATAACACAGAAAATATTTTACTTAAGGCAAATTAACTCGTATCGACGCCAAAGCAAAACAATAATACACGTTCTTCACATTGTTTGTATATTATATATATATATATATATTATTTCCTCGGCTTCTAAATCTCGGAGAATGCGCTTTATTTGGAATTTTCAAATTGAATTTTCAGTCGGTTTAATCTAATTAAAAAATTACAAAATATTATGATACATTATGGGAATTTTTTCATTAGTATAATAATATTATATTGTATTTAGTGGAATTCCTCAAAATTCTTAGCAAAGTACTGAAAACAAAACTAATTAAATTATATTTTTAAAGAAAACTGCACTGTTGTCCAAATCATTAGCACAATCCTGGAATAGTTTTGGGGGTTTAAAAACAAAAAAAAATCCCACTGTGTTTTAGATTTTACATTGGCCGGCGGTAAAAAAATTTTACATCATTAAAAAACATACATAATATATGTAATAAAATGTAACTTTTTATCGTCGCCATTATGTTGTAAAACCTGCACATGTTTTATTATGGGTTTGCGTCACATAAGCGTCCATATTTTTCCGGTGGTCAAGAACCTTTTATTTCTCTCCATTAATGACCACGACAGCTATACCACCGGCAACATGTGTTATATCACAGTTAGCTTGTACAATAATATTATAATGTGTGATTACCTACTATCGTGTAAAAAAGTAACCACTACAGAGACAATACACGGGTGTCAGGTTTGATTACCCGCTGGTGAGATGAAAACTACTAAACAGACATTCATCAGTTGCGGTTTTCCCAAAGACAACATGAGTCACAAATTTCAATATTTGAACCCACTCTTGTAAATCTCTCTATAAACTACTAATCGGCCTAGAAAAAAGCTATGCAACACTTATGGCTATAATATAAAGTCCAGTGATGACCTTGTCAAGGGTATTTATGATACACTTGTGAAGGGTATTTTAAATTTACCTTTATAATTTAGGTTAGGCTTAATCGTAATTTAAATTCAGGTTGGATTTATGTCAGTTGGACGATTAAGCAATCGGAAATGCGCACATTATACCTACCTATTATATTCATTTAATATTATTCAACGTGGATGCTGTGTATAATTTATAACCCTACCCCCCGAGGCTTATGTAAGCCATGTGGTAATAATTAGCTAACCGGCGTAGAAGAACGCTTTCAAAATAGACCTTTCATCGGGGTGTGTAATTATTTTTTTTTTTTTACCTTAATTTTGATTCATTCGATTGAGCAATACGTTGGGGTTGTCGCAGGGACAATGACAGCTAGTACAATACAAGTATGGTTAATTTGAAATTGCCCAACGAGATCTTTTGTGAGCACCTACGAGCTACAATATATATATATATATACATGATATGCTTTGTTCCCAATGTTAGTTTTACACACCATTTGCCAAAACAGGCCTTATCCATTTGGCAACCGTGACAACTCGACTGGAATATTTTTATTTCTGGATTGAGATTTTCGAACGGCCATAACCGCAAAAAACGAATTTGAAAATTACTTTCACAGTCCTAGTAACTTGTTACATCTAATACAAATATAAATGGAATATTTTTTAAGCCTCACTAGACTATTGGCAGATAATCTTCAATCGACAATAGCTGTGATTTGAGATAAAATTATAAAAAAAATTTTTAGAACTAATTGTAATAATTTATATCACAACGGTTAGATTTAACTATCGGACCATATAACAGTCACACTTCGTTCTAAAGAAGATTTTAAGTCTTAAGGCCGAGGGGAAGAAAACATTGGTCTCTTTCTTTCTGTCCTCTCCCTATTTCTATATGATTACAGTTCATTGTATTATATCCAAGCGAAAAGACACTTAAAAGATGTGCAAAAGGTTGAATCGACATAAAAAAAATACCTTTTTTGCCTGATCTCCGTTCTTGCGTTAGCGATGATGAAATCTTCTATAGATTTTTTTTTCTCACTGTTGTCCCTTTCCCCTTTTCGATCCATCGCTTCATCGACTCTCATCGGACGGGCCTTGCATAATACTCGTTTCGGGTTAATCGCTTCGAAATTCGCGCGTCAAGAGCCCTTACACGCTTGTTAAAAAATAAATAATAATATAACCCCTTTCTTCTTGCTATGTGATCGATAACACAACCCCAACAAGCCCCGGGACGCATCTCAATGTATTATCCATCGACCAGCCTCTTTTGAAATGTGAACTTTCGACCTCAAACAATCCAAGTATCCTTACATGTTCCATCGTGTAGTTTTTAGATACGCTCGACTACATGTGGTAAAAGAGGAGTAAGTTTTGTGCAATATTGTTTGCAAGCTACTTTTTCCCCCATTTCTATTGTGTAGGTTTTTTAGTCGTTAAAAAAAATTAGCAGCGCACACAACCGTTATTAACGCATTTCGTTCCGTCGTATCTGTCCGTTTTGCTCGGTCTCCTCGGTATATACCTCTAAGTACAGAGCACAATAATAAGTCATCACCGAGGAATCTCGAGCACGTCAGAGTTTACACAGGCTGCCAATTATACAGATAGCGCCGTACATTTTTCCCATAGATCCGCGACGTTTGATACGAGCCGGTTACACACTGCTGCTGCTGTCGGTTACTGGGTCGATATCCCCTCGGAGACTGTGAGAAAAAACCACCCACAAACTTAGG